GTTTCTATACATTTCTTTCAGAATGCAAGAAGTGCAGGTACTACGCCTTAATATTACCTCAAACTAGGTCATGTTTTATTGAAAAGTGTTTCTAGAGGCTGTATGCAAACGCCTCCTCCACTAACACCCCCAGCCCGCTCCTGAGGCTGCCGCCAGGAAAGAAGGATGTTAGCACGTGAAGCTGCTCTGGAGCATTAAAACTCACTCTCTTGACCTGTATATAAGGAATACATTTATACATAGGGAAGGTTTACATTTTCAGACATGTTTGAAAGAAAAGCACTTTAAAATACGTTATCACACCACATGCTCTAGCAGAGAGTAGAGTCAAGCTCATGTCATCCTAAAACATGGAAGTGGGAGAACAGTTTAGAGCCACAACCAAGTTCCTTCCTCTACTACACCCTGGCAATCCCACACAAATCAAGAGGCAGCACTCAGCCAGTGATCCTCTCCTTTCTCTACAGCTGGTTTTCTTCCCCTCTTGGGGACACTGACTCTAGAAGCTGTTTAGTTACCTAACCTTTGTTTTAAGGCAGACAGTGGTGAAGATTTCTAACTCTCACCACTGAGACACAGCTGAATTTGAGGTGGGATGACTTGCACCTCCCTTCACAAAAGTTTCTGAATCCAGAACACTAGCCAAGTGCTAGCAGTGCAATGCTTCCCCCCCTTTATTTATGTCCTACAGAGATGACAAAGTTGTGTTTAAGACATAATGATGCTTTGCAACCTGCCAGCTGAGGAGAGCGAGCAGCTTTAGGACTGCACCTACATAAGGATGACAAAGCCGTACTTACACAAAAGCTGACCTCAGTCCCTAGGGAGCTATTGCTATGAGATGTTTCCCCAAATATCAGCATTTCCTCTGGCTTTCTGGATGCAGCTTTACACACACACAGAGCATGCAGTGCAGCAAGTGGCCTTTCACACTTACTCAATGAAAAATTGCAAGGCTAAGAACATTCTCGGTTCAGGCTACAGCACTGAAACACTTTGAGGCTGGACCACCCGAACGGGGTCAGCTCTTCCCAGATCCCACCTGCCCCACTCGAGCCTGCACGCAAACAGCTGCTGGGCTGCAGAAGACAAACTATGTTCTCCGGTTCAAACTGGCGCAGGAGTTCCAGGATCAGAAAACCAAGCTGAAATGTTGGATGTGCTTGGCAATGCATGCTCCCTAAGGAAGTACAGTCTGAGGTGCCTTCAGAAGACAATGAGGAAGGTGGGAAATGCCCTCAAAGGTGCTCCACTCACACAAAACAGTCTTTCCTCTAGAGTCAGCCAAGAGCTTTCAGAGTACAATCCCTTCCTTCAAATCCAGAAATACCAGAGTGAAACTGTTGGCACGCTAATAGAACAACGTAGGATGAAATGTCAGGAGTCTGCGGACAACACCTGGCCTTCTGCTTCCTTCACATCGTGCACCAGCAACACTCGCTGCCAACACGCAGCCGGAAATCAATCTGCACCCAAGTAAAGAGCATCTGGCTGTCACTCAACATTAACTCTGTAAGCAGAGAAGGGAGGGAAGTCTTCCTCTTCTATGATACCCAAAGATGTACACGTACAAACTACATCAGCCTGTAGCTTTAGGCACTCATTTGGACATCCAGGCTCCTGCCCACATCGATCCACGGATTCAAAACCTCCCGATGAGCTTATTGTTATCATCTCTCTAGGAACAAAGACGCACATCCTCCCAAAAAGCTTCGAACCGGTACGAAACGCAGCAGCCCATCTGCTTCACAAAAACGGTTGCCATGAATACATCCCTACTGCTCTGCGCTTGCTATTTTTAAAGATACTTGGGAGGCAACTGATTTCAGTGGCGGTTATGCTATTTAAGTATCCAGATTAATACTATTCAAGGAATATACCAGTACTTCTCCACGGGAAAATACAGCACCTGCCTGGTCTACACCTGGCTCAGAGGCATTTTCAGAAGAGCAACTTCTGTAATCTAACGGCAGGGCGATAAACGCACAGACAATAGATGCTTTTCACGCAGAGCACTGTAAACTGAAACGGGTGATTCTTATCCTCAGAAGCCCCACCAGAGCCTAAGGAGACTTTACAAAGGGAGAGGAAAGGACAAGCAAAAGGAAATTTACAGCTGCAACTTTCGTCACTAAAATAGCCAGGGTTTAATGCAGGGCCTGGGCACAGAAAGCATCAAAAAAGGGTACCTGCCTGCAAGAATTAAAAAAAAAAAACACAAAAAACCAGAAAACCCAAGAGGCAGATCCCCAAAGCTGAATGTGCTGACAGGACCTGGACCTTTTCCAGAGTGCCTTGAATTCCTAAGAGCATTAAGTCTTAAGGCATTTCAGACAGGTTCCCCTCCAGCCAGGCTGCTTTGCTCTTGCCTGGGCAGAGGAGGTGTGAGCAGCTCACAGCCTGGGAAGGGGGTCCCGGCCTGGGTGCGCCCCACCAGACCCACAGCACCAGGCTGCAGTTGGTACCTGCAACAGAGGCTGAACTGGACTTGGGACTGGGACGGGCTGACGGGAGCTGGCAGTACAGCCTCCCCCTTCTGCTCTGCTCACAGGTCAAATTAACCCAGTGCCACCTAGCAACTCACTGGGTAAATCATATCTCAACCTCTTGCCACAGATGTGCACAAGCTACCAAGCAAGTCTACTGTAAATAACCTGAAAAATCTGTCTCTGGAGAGTCTTATATTCTCAGACAACACGCTTCTTTCCACATCACAGGTCACTTAATCGAGAAAAAAGAAAACTGATTCAGTATGTCCTGTGAAGGGTTCCTATACCTACTTCTCCTGCGCTTTTACAGGCTCCAAATGACACGGGTCACCTTGTTCAGATCAGTTCTCTGAAAACTCCCAGGCAGAAAGAGCTACTGGCCTGCTCATAGCTGCATACCTCCTACTGCCACAGACTGCAGAAGCAGCCCAAATCGATTGCAGAGCAAACACCAGACTTTTTTACATAAGCAGTTCACACAAGATGACCTGACAGACATCACAACCTCAAATGTAATCGTTTTTCCAAGCGGTTGATTTCAGAGAAACAATCACAGAACTTCAATAATGTACAGACTCCTACTACAACATGGACATAGTATGTCCTTTTTTTTTTTCTAGATCCAAAGAGTATCAAAAAGGCATGGAAATGGCTAGAAGAGTGTAGAACAGAGCCAAGGCATGATTTGGGAGCTTCTCTACACGGTAACTCTTCTCTTCACTGTTCCTGGAAGTTCATCCCTCCTGAAGTTTCTTTAACTGCAACAGGGGAAAATATTTCAAAAAAGTCAAATGACTTAATACCACTGAGACCCGTAACTTTTCAAGCAGGAGCAAGTTTCCATGTGCTTTCAGTTAGAGTACAGACAGGTTAGGGGAAAGGCAGCAAACCCAACAGCCTACTTCCCCTCCGCTCGCTTACAAGCAATCAAGCCAGCTGAGAGTCATGTACATGTTTGGTTTAAATTACAGATGATTTTGCTGCTGGAACACATCTGCAATGCACCGCGCTGAGCTTCTGAACCCCAGCCAGCTCAGAAAACAGCCCAATGCAACCCGCACGGCTGGCAGCACCAGCAAACCCCAGCGGTGGCTCCTAGAAGCTGCTTTCAGGGACGACAAGGAGAGGGAGATCGACATTTCTCAGCACAGGCTTTTCCTGAGACACTCTCCAGTCCAACTCATTTTATTATGACTCCAGGAAGCAGAGGGGTTAATTTCTTTCCAAGTTCACATACTGTTTGAATTCCTTAGATAAGCTGCTTCCACCAAACCCAAGGATCTAGCCTCAGGGGAGAACACTGTAAGGAAAAGCTCTTTTGATAGATTTTCTTCAAAAGAGAAATTATTTCAAAGTCCATTTTTGGAGGTGTTCCATGCCCATGGCTTCTATAGACTTCAGATGATGTTGTGCCATGCCTCTGGAAGGAAAACTAAGCTTTGAGCAATGCCCTACCACTTCTGTTTGCAAGACAGAAATGTTTTATGTTTGCCCAATAAAATCTTCTCTCCTGAAATGAGAAAGCTTAGTGTGCAGCATACAAAGAGGAAAACCAGACCAAACCAGGCTTTAGGTCTGGGGTAAAGCAGTCAACAGCTAGCACAAACTAATCCTGTTCCTTTAAAACTCACCAGTCACTCAGGAAAGCAAAAAAACAAGTTCTGAAAGCCTCTGAAGGCTTCCTTTGCATCTTGAGGCAGAAAGAAAGCAAGTCCGGGCTGTTATGGAATCCACGTTTGCATACTGCTGGTGATAATCTACGTGCATAGTTGGAAACAAAGCACGTTTTTATTAGCAATTAGTAGCAGGAGTGGGGAGAGACCCGCCTGAAGGAGTCAGAGAAACACCAATACATAATGGCAGAACAACCTTATAAGATGTGCAGCAGAACGATGCTAATATGACAGATCACATAAAAAAGAAAATACTGCAGCTATAACCTTGGAGATGCAATGGCATCAGTTCAAGGAGATAACCTGTATCTTTAACACCAACAACTTTGACTCCAGGCAGCAGTTTTCTCTTGCACACCAATTTGCAATGCAAAGCAAGCTACTTCCACTCTTACTGAGAACAGTATTTCTGAAGAAAAGGGGGAGAAGAAAGTTGGGAAGGGTTGATTTGCTTAGACACAGTTTTCTACAGAGTTGAGTTTCAAGTCAGGCACGAAAGCGACATAGCATAGGGTCTGAAATAGCGTGTGAGAACTTGGGCAAGGCGGGGGGGGATTTCATCCACAAACCCCAGACCCTTTCAGGGGAATGACTTCCTGCTCCCTCCCCACACCTCTGAAATCCAGCTCTGATCAGCCAACACCACCCAGGTTCAGAGCTCTCCAGCTATGTTCTTCCCCCGGTCCAGAGAATGATGTGGCATGTGAGGCCCTACAACAGAACTATTAAAATCCCATCGAGGGGCAGGCAAGTGGTAGCCATATGCTGAACGGCTCAAGTGAAAAATAACCAGGAAAAGAAGCACAGCCAGGAAGCAAGTCTGAAAGCAGCTTCTTACCTGGTAGATAAGCTAGCAAAGTCTCCTCCATCTAGCAGCCTGATTTTGCAGAACAGAACCCCATTCACAAAGGGGACAGCAGTCAGCTCTTCTAGAGTGAAACTTGTCTGAAACTTGAATTTCTTCTTCTTCATCAGGAAAGCCATGGGCAAATTCAGCCTGGAAAG